GATTATTCTCGACTTTATCCCGACTATCAACTTTACCAAGACGAACACGCCTAAACCTACGTCTGTTAGTTTATTTGAGACAAACATTCGATATCTGGGTGGATTGTTGAGTGCCTATGATCTTCTCAAAGGGCCCTTCAAGCATCTCAAAGTCAACAAGGATAACGTTGATGCGCTTCTCAAGCAGGCTACTACACTGGCCGACACGTTGAAGTTTGCTTTTGACACGCCATCGGGAATTCCTTTCGGGTCGCTCTGGATTGAGAACCAGACATCCACCAACGAGGACAGCCTCGAGGATGGAACTGCCTACGCTGGTTTGGCTGCTATGGGTACTCTTGTTCTTGAATGGCAACACCTTTCGGATCTCACTGGTGATCCTGAGTATGGTAAACTGGCCAATCGCGCTGAGTCGTATTGGCTCTCTCCATCTTCCGAGGTCTGGCCTGGTCTTACTGGAGGTCGCTTCAGCCTCAAGACGGGTGAGATCCTTGATGAGTATGGCGGATGGACGTCGGGTAATGACTCAGCTTATGAGTACCTCATCAAGATGTATGTCTATGACCCAGACCGATTCAGCCATTACGGTGAGCGTTTCACTCTGGCGGCCGACTCTACCATCAAGCACCTGATCTCTCATCCATCGTCGCGACCTGACTTGACCATGGCAGCCGCTTTCACTGGCAAACAACAAGTCAATTACACCGAATTCCTCGCATGTTTCATCGGCGGATCATTCATTCTCGGAAGTTCAGCCCTAGATCGCCCAGACTGGCTCGACTACGGCCTCTCCTTCAGCGAATACTGCGCCAACGGCTACCGCTACACAGCATCCGGCATCGGCCCAACCCTCTATAGCTGGGATCTCAACGAGCTCGCGCAGCCCGAGAACAAGAACCAGACGCTCTTCTACGAGCGCGCGGGGTTCTTTATCCAGGAAGGAATCTTCTCGGGCGGCCAGGCACCCGAGGCCGTGGAAAGCTGGTACTACGCGTACCAGAAGACGCACGACCAGTACTGGCGCGACGTAGCGTGGACGTACACCCTAGCGCAGAACAGGACGATGCGCGTTGGCGGGGGGTTTGCCAGCATCAACAACGTGCTGTCTCCGTCTGGCGACGGAGTGCGCGGCGGCATCATGGCTAGCTTCATGCTCGCCGAGACGCTCAAGTACATGTGGCTGATCCAGACGGAGAACAAGGGCGAATGGGATGTCCTGGAGGGAGGGGAGAATCTGTTTGTTTACAACACTGAGGCTCACCCGCTGCGAGTCGCTGCGAAGAAGCCTGTTTAACCTTGTTTTTAGAGATTCAGCCTAGCATTGAGCGTGGCGCTTTTTGGCGTCTCACTGCCTCCGCCGGTAGATTCAGTATCCGACGGAGGCGCAGGCGAGCTTAAAACATTGTTTTGTGTCAATAGAAAATGTCTAATTGTGTGCTTTGCCAATATCAGCTGAACCAACCTCTTTTCCGTGACTTTTTGGGTCATTATGTGTCAGAAGACGGTGAAGTGGCTTTCCTGTTTCGCTTAAAAACACCCAATATTGTCTGGTTGGCGCTGCCAAGAGCCCCATAAGGCTGATGTGCCTCAAAGCATATTGGGCGAAGGGAATGTGCGTTTTCAGCTTTGGCTACTAGCGCATAATAAGCTCAAAGGGATGACCCTACTGCCGGGTCTAGATTCTGGGAGGGGAAGAGGGAGCTTACAGAGCTGAGAGAATGCAGGTATATAAGGCAATGGCCAAATCTTGTGTTACGGTATCATCAAAATAGAGCATCACAAGACATCTCGGCCATTGCACTCTGTACTCTATTGAACGTCTTCCCTGTAATTGCATCCGACTTCACACCGTCACCATGCGCCTGCTCAAAGGCCTTGTACTAGGTCTGCTCCTCGAGAGAGGTCTCTGTCAGACAGATACTCAACCAGACGGTGACAGTATCGCAACTGTTGCCGACCCTGTCGAGACAGATCCCGCAGATGTCCCTGCTCCTGACCCGACTGTCCCATCAGATGGCGGTGCGCGCGATTGAAGCATTTATTTAACTCCTGCTGACAGCAACCAGACACTCCTTCAGATCCCCCGGACCCAGCAGATGATGAACCAACGATCACGTTAGACGACCCTCAGCCCACTGACGACGGATCCGATGCCAGAATCCCCGCTCCAGATCCCACTGATCAACCTACCGATGTTGAAGACCCTTCAGCCATTCCTGATGATCCCGCCGAGACAAATACAGATGATGAACAGCAAGCTCCCACTGACCAGCCCGCCCCAACCGACACTGAGCCCGCGCCCGCCGCAACAGACGTCGATGCCACTCAGACCGATGAGGAGACTCCCCAAGAGACAGATACCAATGGTGAGGAAGCTACGCAAACAGATGGTGACACCGATGCGGCACCCGTCGTTCCAACAGAAGCCTTGAACTCGGCGGCCGAAGAGACCCCAGAGGCAACCCCTCTGGCATCCGACACCGCAGACGATCAAGTTCCACAGACGACCGAAGAGCCATCGGATGGAGAGACCGAAGAATCAACCGCTGACTCTGAGCCAGAGGAGTCCACCCAGCAGAAGACAAGAAATCTTGTAGCACCGACAAACACTGAGAAGAGCGATGCGAAAACGACTGATGGCGATGGTAATTATTCACCTGCTCCTTATGCTAGTCCGACTGGAGGGCATGAGGCCGAGCAGACGGGCGATAGTGAACAGACCGCTGATGGAACAACCCGCAAAGCTGCAGCTACAGGTAGTGGAGGCAAGGAGGAGAAGACCACGCTTGCCACTTCCAAGGGCGCTGCGCCGACTTCGCCCGCTCAGGATTACGCCATTGATCTGAAAGAAGCTGATCTAGGCGACTACGCCGAGTTCCAAGGCACAGGCGACAAGACCGTCGTGTAAGTTCCCCAAACCCTTTCTACCCCACGACTTAATCCATTAACTCCACCAGTGTTCTCAAACCCCCTCCCAACACCGAAGCAAAGTGCGATCTACCCCCCACAAGCGACGAGGACGTCCCCGAGGGTGAAGACGTGCGCGTCGTGCTCGCCGTGAAAATCGCAGACCTCAAGAAGGGCGTCAAGTCCGGTAATCGCTTGCAAATGCTCGTTGACGGTTCGACTATCTATGATAAGGAGCTCCTGGGCACTGGGGATGGAGAAGAGAGTATTTCGAGTGATAAGTTCAGGGCTGCGCTGGATCAGAAGGTTAATGTTATTCATAAGGCCGGTGATAAGCCGGTGCAGGTTACGATTCAGGATGCGAATATTAGGAGTGCTGTTAGTGCGGGAAGTAGAGGGGGGAGTGGAGGAGGGTCTGGTGGTGGCTCTGGTTCTGGGGATGACGGTGATAACTCTGGTGATGGTGGCGATGGTGATGGCGGCGGTGGAAGCGGAAGTGGTAGTGGCAGTGGCAGTGGAGGCGGCTCAGGCGATGGCGACAGCTCGGGCGGAGGTGCATCCGAGAGCGCCTCAGGAACCGGAGACGAGAGCTCATCCCCATCAAGTGTCTCTGGCGGCGATGGTCAAACCAACGTTGCTGGCAAGAACTTCATGGTCGGCGAGGTTCTCATCTACGCCCTTTCTCTCGCCCTTGCTCTCGTGGGATGAGCCCATACCACATATTAGACGTTCTTGTATCTAGTTCTTGGGGATGTAGTTGGAGTTGTACAGGTTGCCAAGCTATTGGATTGATAATGTTAATGCTTTGCTCGAGTCAATGATTCAGTAGAATGCCACGATTTGCATAATTACTAGATTAGGGCTGTGGGTACCCACTCTGTTTCATATGACTTTCATCTGTTAGAAAGCATACTGCTGATATGAGCCTTGGTACACTTGTCCTGTTGTAGGTGCTGTCGAAGGGGGCTGTCACAGATACTGGCAAAGCCTGAGGCTTGAAAGCGGCAGCGGGGAAAGGCATCTATCGATTCCTCAGATCTGCAAATAGATGATAGACAGATCTCCTGCTAATTACATTTTAACTGCGGTTATACCCATAGATAAGCCCTCTTGTCCCAATATCTACATCCACGGTCTCTCCTTAAACACCAATTCTTAGCCTCCTTTTCATCGTAAACCTATCTCAACTCAGTTTCCCCTTCCAATACAACTCATTTCCAACTCTACCCAAGCTCATGTCTTCGGAATATAGTTCCTAGAATAAATGCAATTACTAGAGCCACAATCCTGAATCTTCTTGCGATACGTACTTCCGTCTTTTCTTCGAAATGTTCTCCATTCGCAGCAAGCGACGAGGACACGATCGGAGCCCGCTGCGGGTCGGACTGTAGTGGTTTCCATTACGCACATCCTGAAAGGCTTAATATAGCAGTTCAATAGTGTTGCCAATATAGTGTTTGGGCGGTAGATATCTTTAAATTTTTAGGGGGAGGTTTTATTGCTCGGGGAGAAGCTGCTATTTAGGCTTTTTGGCTGTTCGTGATGGAGCATCTATAACGAACACGTACGCTTCTATGTGTTTTCTGAAATAAGACATGATCACGAAGCATAAATTTGTGGCTTATCATCAAAATCGCATTGAGTCCTCTTTAAATACGTGTTGCAGCCCTTTTGTAGGCTGACATTTAGATGAATCAGACTTCGATGTGGTACGGCGTCACTCTTAAGAGCCACGAACAGTCACGCGATACGGTCGTCAGCATACATTCACGTTGAAATGGGGTGATACAGATCCTTTGTGCCTCTCCAGAATATCCTGCGTTGTGCGACCGGGACGCCCATGTTCATCACATTACAATTAGTCCATCCATCTTCGTAACAAGAGATGCATCACTCTTTGATCTGTTGCACTAGGTACGCCCGCTTCCTCAGCTTTCCTATTCACTTATTTACACAAATCACTTGACCAAATATGGTGAGTAACCAGCCAAAAGTCTAGTGCCTTCCTCCAGAGAATGCAATCCATGTAGTAAGGCGATTCAGCCTGATAATAGTACTAATGCAGGTTTTCCTCTGAGCTTTATTAACGTCTATTACGCCTTTACAGCATTCTTTCTCAAGAACTCCTGACTAAACGCGTAGTCAGTATACCCCTTCGCTATCTTTGGAGTATAAAAGTACGTCCTATCATAACCCTCCAACGCAACACCAGCCTTCAACCGAAACACAAGGTCCGGATTGGCGACAAAATATCTTCCAAACGCAATCAGAACTTCAAATCCCTTGTAAATCTCATCAACAGCTATCTTAGCTGAATCACTCTTGAAACCACCCGATAGAATCACAGGACTTGTGTTGTTCCACAGTTCAACAATCCATCGAACTGTCCGTTGACCACCACAGTCAGCATCATCGTTACCGCGTATACGAGCTTCGATGAGATGCAAGTATGCTAGGCCAAGTGGTTTGAGCTGTTCGATGAGGTAACGGAACTGAGCATCCGGGTCGTCCATGAGCATGCCTAGAAAGTCGCTGTAGGGACTGAGCCGCATTCCAATCTTATCGGCTCCTATGGCTGCGATGACTGCTTTTGTGACTTCGATGTGAAATCTAGCTCGGTTCTCGATACTTCCTCCCCAACGGTCCGTACGTTTGTTGCAAGTGTCCTGTAAGAACTGATCGGGTAGATACCCATTTGCACCATGGATCTCAACGCCGTCAAAACCCGCTGCAATGGCGTTTCGCGCAGCAGAGACATAGTTCTTTATAGTAGTCTTTATATCGTCCTCTGCCATTTCTTGAGGGGTTGTCATCGATGGCTCAGCCGGAACAGCACTACTGGAAAGAAGGGGGTAGCCCTTCCTCCGGAGAACATCAGGGTTGCCAGCTCGTCCTTGGTGCCAGAGCTGACAAAATACTTTGCAGCCCTTTTCATGAATTGCGTCAGTTATACTGCGCCACGCTGTGACTTGAGCGCCGGACCAGATTCCAGGTGCGTTGTCGGAACCGGCCGTGCTTTCAGATATAAAAGTTGCTTCGCTGATGATGAGAGTGCCAGGTGTTGATGCGCGTTGTTCGTAGTATTCTATTCACTACAGTTAGCTTTGCTTATCGATCAGCGTCTAAGAGCTTGTTTTCCTGCTACTGACCTCTCGTCATGGAAGTTGGGCAATGATCATCGTCGCAGCGGTATCTGGTCAGAGGCGCCATCACAATTCGGTGCTCCAGTGCAGTTGACCCAACGGCCAATGGCTCAAAGAGTCGTGACATGATGCCTCTATCCACAAAGAATATGTTATCAATCCGATCAGCTTTCGAACCAAGTATCGCAATAATCACAGTATTGAAAAGACAGTCATGGTGGTATTGAACCCCCCCCTGCAATAAATATGTATGCCCCCAATACCCACCGATTCATTCATCCCCACCACTAACTCCTCGGTGGGTATATCCACCCTTATCGCAGTCATCTGGAAAATTATCCAGACGTCGGAACAGAAGATGCCGATACAGAACTTCTCTACGCCAGCCGCTTTATTCCCGACAGGGACATTCTTGGCCGATGGGGACCTTTGCAAATGCGCTCGTGTTTCGTCGAATGAACACAAGGCGGGGGATTCGGGAATAAGGGTTCCTGACGGGAAATATGCGAGCTGAAGAATTTGATGATGACATTGCAAAATTGATCAACGTTTCTTTCTTGGGTGGAGGTTGTTGCGTGTCAAAAATAAGGACTTCGGGGGAGGCGATTATCTCCCTCCTCTCATTGTACACTCTCTACCTTATTTCACGGGGAGAGCACTATTTTCCAAGTCATCACCACCATGAATACTGATACCAAGCTCGATGCGGATACATCTACCGACAGAATCACTGCTTGGGGGGGTACTACGCAGATACCATCTCAAGTTGCCAATGATGAGAAAATACAAATCGCCAACATCGACAGCGGTTCCAGCACACAAATAGCAGACCAAAGCGACGCCGAAAGCATAGGCGGTCAACGCAATAGCGACCTCCCCCGAAAACGCCTCCTAATCTCCATAACCGCCCTTTCAGTATGCCTCTTCGTATCGTTCCTCGACCAGACAAGCGTGTCAACGGCTACACCCTCTGTAGCTGGCGAGCTCCAAACAGGGACTTCGACGTCATGGATAGGAACTTCATTTTTGATAGCGTCGACGGCATTTCAGCTTATCAACGGCCGACTCTCGGATATCTTTGGCCGGAAGAATATGCTGTTGCTTTGTTTGTTTCTTATGGGTGTTGGTGATTTGGCTTGTGGCTTTGCAAAGACGCCGGTGCAGTTGTACGTCTTTCGGTCGATTGCTGGTGTTGGTGGTGGGGGGATTAATAGCTTGGTCATGATTATCGTGAGTGATATCACATCACTGCAAAATCGTGGGTATTATCAAGGTAAGCAAGCCATGCGTCGATTTTGGTCTCAACATTGACAAAAGTCAGGAATGCTGGGAGCCATCATCGCCCTCGCCAATGGCGTTGGACCTTTCTTAGGCGGTGCGATTGTTCAATCTGCGACTTGGCGATGGGTTTTCTGGATGATACCCATAATCACTCTGCCTACTACAGCAATTATCTGGTTCTACCTCCCTCTTAAGCATCGATCTGGGGAATACATGGAGAAGATAAAAAAGATCGACTACGGAGGCATCGTTCTCAACATCGCATCGACACTACTACTTCTGATCCCGATATCTGGGGGAGGCGTCACTTATGCCTGGACATCAGCTTTCTTCATCGCCACCGTCATCATCAGTATCTTTCTAGCCGCCCTCTTTGTTCTATTCGAATGGAAATTGGCAAAACTACCGATTATGCCTCTTCGACTCTACCGCGCGCCTCACTGCTGGGCGCTGTACCTGCAGTCTTTCCTGACGGGTCTGGCTTACTTCGGCAACTTTTTTTATCTACCGCTGTACTTCCAATCGGTACTAGGATATGACGCGCTGGTTGCAGGCGCTCTCATTCTAGCAGTGGTCATTCCGACATCACTCACGTCTATCCTTTCAGGGCAGTACATGAGTCGCGTGGGGAGCTACATGCATTGCATTCTAGCTGGGTTTGCTCTCTGGACGCTTGGGAATGGCCTCACTCTCCTTTTCAATCGGGAGACAAAGCTGGGCCCGCTGATCGCCATTCTCATCGTTGAGGGTGCGGGTATTGGGTTTACTCTGCAGCCTACGCTCGTTGGAATGTACGCGAATGGTCGCAGCGAGGACAGAGCAGTGACGACTGGTTTGCGAAACTTTATCCGCACAATTGGCGGCGCATTTGGCGTGGTCATCTCTGGTGTTATCCTCTCTAACACATTGAACAAAGAACTTGGTGGAAGAGGGATCGTGCCCAATGACACGATTGCTCAATTGACGTCATCAACATATTCGCTGACCAGTCTGGGCTTGTCGCAGCAGGATCAGGATATTATTTTAGATGCATACATGAATGGTCTATACTTTATATTTGTCTTCTTTACAGTATGCTCGGGATTGAGTCTGGTTCTGACGTTCTGGGTTGGAAACACAAGCCTCAAATCGCCAGCGAAAACTGAGGACGCGTCAGGTTCAGCAGATCGAGAGATGGCGGAGGATGAGAGGCCTAGGCGGGCTGATGTCGAAAAGGCACAGCGATAGAGATAGAGCTTTTTAAGTTGACGAAAGGAATAAAAGTTTTTGTCTATGGGCTTGACTATTGCCCACGGGAATTGTTAGTGATGAAGTGAAAACGCGTCGATTGAAGGCGGCCTGTTCATCAATGAGACGCGAAATTTGGCGGTGGGGATAAGGACTCCTCAGAATGCTGATAAGGGGCTATTGGCAGTACTAGAAATGACACGCAAGATACGCTTGCTGTCGGGTCACTTTGTTAGCGCAGCAACTCAAAGACTTCTGCAAGACGAGGTACTTGGGTTCTGGTGCTATCGCCACAGAAAGCCAAGTATTCTTTCGGGAGACTGACTGGGTGCACTTTCACCAGAATTAAGAAGCATTTTGCTCAAGGCTCAAGGAACATACTATCATGATATACCTGAAACCTGCATTTCTTGCTCAAGTAGGAATACTACTGCAATTTGCAGTAAAGGATATAGTAGTTATAGCTTGGTAGGAGAGCCAAATTGCCTACTTACTCCGTACTTGTCACTGCTATAGTTTGCTGTTTATCCAATGCCTTGTGTTCTGTACTCATACCCTGTAGTTCATGAAAGAGATTCTTCCCGTCCTAATCCGGTATAGCCTTATCGACCGAGCGTTGAGTGATAAGCGGGAATAAACGGAGTCAAGAGCTTATCGTCACCCAGCCATAATGCAACGTCCGTTATCTTCCCCGCGTTCCTTATCACAGACACGACTCATGACCCCGCGCTGGGGATGTTTCCCTGACCCGGTCGGGTATAGGAAGGTCGAAGGAGAGGTCGGCCCAAAATTCGCCGAAGGGTTTGCAGTAAGTTGGCCGGCATTGAGATAAGGCACTGACAGAGCTTGCTTATAGCCCAGCCATCAGTCCACTGTCTAATTGTGTTGATCCAAAAGTTCCATTCAGTCTAGTGTTACTGCCTATCATGCCTACAACTTTCGCCTCGCACCCCGATTACGGCTACGACCGTGACTTCAAGGGATATGGAGAGAAGGGTCTTGTCGGGTTGAAGTGGCCCAACAACGCCAAGATTGCTGTATCGTTCGTCATCAATTACGAAGAGGTAAACCAACTGCATAGAAATGACCCGATAATTATATCTTCACTGCTAATACTGGTGTCATTAGGGCGGTGAGCGCTGTGTTCAAAGTGGTGACGGAGTCTCAGAGACAAACCTCCGAGAACACCCTACATTACCACGCATGAACGAACGCGACCTCAACGGAGAGTCAGAGTATGAATATGGCTCTCGCGTTGGGTTCTGGCGATTGTTCAAGCTTTTCAACCAGCATAAGATGAAGTTCACTCTCTACGCTGTTGCACAAGCTGTCGAACAGCAGCCCGAAGTAGCTACTCGCTGCGTCGAAGAAGGCCATGATGTAGCTTCTCACGCTTATCGCTGGGTGGATCACCATGACTGGTCTGTTGAGAAGGAGAAGGATTACATCAAGAAGGGAATAACCAGTCTGAAGAGCCTGACGGGATATGCGCCCAAAGGGTGGTACTACGGCCGTCCTTCGCCACACAGCCGTACCCTAATCCCCCAAGTCTACCAAGAAATGGGTGAAGAGCTCGTTTGGGCGAGCGATACATACGCCGACGACGTGCCATACTGGATTGATCTCCCCACCGAGCGAGAAAAGCCAGACCCTAAGGGCTGTCTCATGGTTCCGTACAGCTACGACTGCAATGATTTCAAGTTTCACGTGGTCACTGGCTTTCGCGATTCCACCAGTTTCTACACTCATCTCAAGAATGCATTCGATGTGCTGTACGAAGAGGGAGAGGCGGGTGAACCGAAGATGATGACTATTGGCTTGCATTGCCGTATTATTGGAAGACCGGGACGGTTTAAGGCCTTGAAGGACTTTGTCGAGTATATTGCGCAGAAGGAGGGTGTTTGGGTTGCGACGAGGACGGAGATTGCTGAGGCATTTAGGGAGCAGTTCCCTTACAAGAAGGGTGAGTTGGCTTGATAGAATAGGTGAATAAATGGCTCAATCATCAGTTGCGTTCCAGCGATCTGTTTTGCTTAACGACCGAAGAGAAGTCAATAATTTCTTTGGACGACGAGGAAAACATATTTAGCACGTGTTTCATAGTTCGATGGTTAAGATAATGCAAGACCGTCACTGCCCGCTAAAGTCCCAACCTCTGCTCAGGTCCAAGTTCCCTTGCGACAAGTTCCAAATATCTTTACAGCCCTTCGCTGCTCCAGAAAATACATTAGAAGTGGACAGACCTGAGGCGCTAGGATCTTCGCCTAGCATCTCGTTCCACATGTGCCAGCCATGCCAACCACCAGGTGCTTCCTCATCAACCTCCATGAATGCTTCTTTAACCGCATCGGAAACAAGATAACGCATTGTGATATCATCTGCCTCATTGCTGTTCTGCAAGGTGGATTTCGGCTGCTGAGATGATAATCCTGGGCTAGCACTGAAGCTTGGCCGATCGAACTTGGTCTGCAAAGGGGCAGTCTGATGCGCACCCATTCCAGTATCGCCAGACAGTCCGCCAGGGCTCATGAGAGTCTTTAAAAGACTTCCTGAAAGGGCGTCAAAGATATCGCGGTATTTGACGGCACCTGCCCATTTTTCACCAAATACAGTGAGACT